TTTCAAAGGGGACACTAGTTCTGTTACCTGGGGGTCTCCTATGGATTCCCTTAATTTGCAGGGATTTCCTCTCACTTCCTGGTTTGGCAATGGGACAGGAAGCGAAGGGGAATCTCCCCAATAGTATACAGATGGCAAAAAATACACTGACAGGCAGGGGCGGACTGACCATTTGGAAACTCGGGCACTGCCCGAGGGCCTGGGGTCAGTAGAGGGCCCCATGAGATGCCCCTGGTACCTTTTTCATAGGCTTTTTTGAGTTTGGGCAAGGATACAGGGTCCTCATGATCCCCTATTGCCCGGGGGCCCCATGAGTTGTCAGTCCGCCCCTGCTGACAGGGGTTATGACCCCTCTCCCCCTTACTCTATCCAAAATGAAAAAAAAAACAATGTTTTTGCCTATAGTTCTTCTTTAAGGCTCCTTTACTCTCTGAGGAGTATTCCACTCAGGATCACTTTTGACAGGCAAGGAACATAATGCTGTCTGTTTTAACACCTAAACACCTGTACCTCTGCTCCTCAACCTTGTGCATTGCACAGGTTTGCTTGGAAGCTGTGGCACAACCCACCAAACATAACAGGGGGGGGATAATTTTTTTGTCAACTGTGGTGAGCAGAAAAGCATCTCAGAATGCACAACACATCAAACCCTGAGGCTACGACCACAGAAGACCACACTGGTTTCAATTGTTCTCACTGAGGACACCATGTTGAGGCAGCAGTGGGCACTTGTAGGCAGGTGCTTAAAAGTGTGTGCTACAAAATAAAGTTCACTTTATTTTTACTGTATTGTTCAAGAAAGATGTAAAATATGTACAGGCAGGGGTGGCCTGACAACTCATGGGGCCCCTGGGCAATAGGGGATCATGGGGCCCCCTTTGTCCTTGCCCAAACTCAAAAAAACCTATGAAAAAGGTACCGGGGGCATCTCATGGGGCCCCCTACTGCCCCCGGGCCCTCGGGCAGTGCCCGAGTTTCCAAATGGTCAGTCTGCCCCTGTGTACAGGTATATCTGTTCTGTCAGTATTGTGTCAGCGGGCTGCCCAAGAGTTAGGAAGGGGTTAAGTCTGCCTACTCCCAAGTGTTCAAGGTCCTGTTTCTGTGTCCCATAAATATAAGGGGAGTCAGCCTAGAGGGGTCATCCTCATAGGAACTGACAGGAAGCCCTGCTGCAAGATGTAGCTCTTCTAAGGAACACGTGGTTACCTTTTGGATACCTGGTCGCGGGAAGTGAAGCCAGAACTTGGACTCTGATTTGAGGATTTTCCTTGCTTAAGAGGTATGACATGGTCATCTTGGATCAGTTAGTCTAGTTAGTTAGAATGAACTGAACTGTGCTTGTAATGAACTGAGAAAGACTGTGAACTGTCAACTCTGTAATTGCCAGAAACTTCAGTAAAAGTTCCTAAGCTACAAAGTGTCTGGTCTGAAGTCCATAAAAGGGGTGCATTAAGGTACCTGGTGTATCCAAGAGAACAGGAACTGTAACATCTAGTGGGATGAAAAGTAAGAGAAGCACCATGAAGGGGTTAATTGTGCATTGGAGTTGGCAGGAAGATGTCTAACATGCCGTTGGTATGAGTAAGCAGGACTGGTGGGAATGCTATTGCAGCCAGCCAGCGAGGAGGTACTACCGGGCATGGATGATGGTGTCCCCTGGTAGTGAAGAGGTTGGTGACCTGACCCCTTCCCTAGCGAATGGTGCCTCTTTGTATACGGGACCGATATCGCAGTACAAGGAGCCTATGGACCTAGCTGGAGGAACTTGGAGAGTGAGAGAAGTGAATCAACAAAGAGTTAATGCTGTTCTACATTGTCACTGAGAGGAAGGTGACAAAGCTAGGCTGAGCTGGTGGAGTGGCACACAGGCTTCCCAAAATACTGCATTTAGGAAGTTAGGGTGTCATGGTAAGTGTGTCTCACAGTAAAAGAGCCTCAAGTCTAATGTGTGCAAGGTGAGCGGCTCACTTCTATGTATGGAATGCCATTTTAATGCTGATTCTTGCATGACCGTGGCCCCGCCTGGTTCTCGGGCATTAGCGAGCGCATATCCCACATTCAGGGTGAGTAGGCCCTGCCCACACAGTAGCTTGCCAAAAATAGACAGTTGCAGACTGGAAAAATGTAACCTGGTCTGATATATCTCCACACAGATAGTAGACTATTCACTAGTCTGAATCCTATAGAACATTTGGGGATGTAGTAAAACAGGAGATTCACAACATATATATATATACTGCATGATGCAATCTTGTCAACATGGACCAGAATTACCCTACCATAGTGTATTAAGATGGTGAATGACCATACCACAGTGTAGTATTCCTAAGAAATTGCTCTGAATTTATAAACAAACAAAGATGTATAGTGATGTATTGTATATATGTAAATGTGAACTGGGACACATAGTATTTTCAGTTGTATATTTAGCTATTTGCCTTAAAAGCGGCTCTACACTGTATACAAACACTAAAAACAAAAACACTATGTAATTAATTTTTAGTAGCGGTGCAACAAAATGAAAATTCTTGACCGAACAGAAAATTCAGGATGCACTTGGTTGAAAACCAAAACTGAAACCGAAATAGACAATTTAAAAAAAAAATGTATATATAATTGTGTATTCAACTTTTTAAATAATATCATACATTTAAAAGAATATGAATTTTAAAAAATACAATCGAGAAATGTAAAATAACTTTTATTGAAAGTAACACACAAAAATAAAATGAAAAATAAATATAAAATTAAAAAACATAAATGGAGGTGTATTTGCATTGACGTCATTAGGGTAAGTTTTTGCATTGGAGTCAATGCAACAGAATTTTGCATCAACGTCAATAGGGGGCGTATTTCCTTTGGCGTCAATGGGACACGATTTTGCATTGGAGTCAATAGGACATGATTTTGCATTGAAGTAAATGGGGGGCATTTTTACATTGGAGTCAATAGGACATGATTTTGCATTGAAGCCATTAGGGGGCGTTTTTGCATTGGAGTCAATGGGACGCACTTTTGCATTGACGTCAATAGGGGGCGTTTTTCCTTTGGAGTCAATGGGATGCCATTTTGCACTGGAGTCAATAGGACGTGATTTTGCATTGAAATAAATGGGGGGCGTTTTTATATTGGAGTCAATGGGACATGATTTTGCATTGGAGTCAAACAAAACACGATTTTGCATTGAAGTCAATAGGGGGGTGTTTTTCCATTGGAGTAAAAGGTATGCGATTTTGCAATGGAGTCAATAGAAAGCAATTTTGCATTGAAGTCAATAGGGGGTGTTTTTACCACTGGAGTCAATGGGACGAGAATTTGCAATGGAGTCAATAGGACACAACTTTGCATTGAAGTCATTAGGGGGCGTTCTTGCATTGGAGTCAATTGAACGCAATTTTGCATTGACGTCAATAGGGGGGCGTATTTGCGCTGGAGTCAATAGGACATGATTTTGCATTGAAGTAAATGAGGGGGGGGGGGGGGGGGCATTTTTATATTGGAATCAATGAGACACAATTTTGCATTGGAGTCAACAAAACACGATTTTGCATTGAAGTCAATAAGGGGTGTTTTTCCATTGGAGTCAATGGGATGCGATTTTGCAATGGAGTCAATAGGAAGCAGTTTTGCATTGAAGTCATTAGGGGGCGTTTTTCAATTGGAGTCAACAGGACGAAATTTTGCAATGGAGTCAATAGGACACAATTTTACATTGAGGTCAATAGAGGGCATTTTTTCATTGCAGTCAATGGGACGCGACTTTGCATTGAAGTAAATAAGCAGTGATTTTGCATTGGAGTCAATAGGATGCTATTTTTGCATTGAAGCCAATGACATTATCTGCACCTTTTTTTTTTATTGGCAAAATACAGATAACCCTATATTCAAGGCAAACTCTCCCATCCATCCATGTCTCCATGCTTTCTGTTGCTGAGAAATCACATTGAAAAACACCCCCTAGCATTTCTGGCTGTGGCCATCTTGAGTAAGAGCAGATGATTCATGTAGGATTTACTAACTGGAGTCCATCCGCCCTTAGCTCAGTCATGCAGGCATGAGGGTGTGCTTCGATGAGAAAGCCCCTACTCCCCTCCTGTAGGACTCTGGAGGTGTATGATACCACTTGCCTAGGCATAGAGACCAGTAAGTAACTGAAGAAATGTATAAAAAATGTTTAAAGCAAGTAAATACAATATACCTTCCCATCTACCGTATATACTCGAGTATAAGCCGACCCGAATATAAGCCGAGGTACCTAATTTTACCACAAAAAACTGGGAAAAACTATTGACTCGAGTATAAGCCGAGGGGGGAGGAATAGTGCCCCATCGTTGGTGTCAGTGGGGGGAGGAATAGTGCCTCATCGTTGGTGTCAGTGGGGGGAGGAATAGTGCCCCATCGTTGGTGTCAGTGGGGGGAGGAATAGTGCCCCATCGTTGGCGTCAGTGGGGGGAGGAATAGTGCCCCATCGTTGGTGTCAGTGGGGGGAGGAATAGTGCCCCATCGTTGGTGTCAGTGGGGGGGGGGGAGGAATAGTGCCCCATCGTTGGTGTCAGTGGGGGGAGGAATAGTGCCCCATCGTTGGTGACCCCTGCTCCAGCCTGGGCTCGCTCGCTCCCTCCCTCTCCCATGGTACACACTTACCGGTCAGATGTCTTCCTTCTCCGGCCGCTCTCCTCCTCTTCACTCGCTCGATCTTCGCGGTGCCGCTCGGCTCCTCCTCTCCAAGCTCCACCTCCTTGCCGGTGATTGGGCGCCTGTGTGCCTCTCCTGAGCTACAGTTCCGGCGGCCAATCACCGGCGAGGATTGATCCCGGGGGTGTGTCCAGATGACAGGGACGGCATGTCATCTGCAGACGTTGAGTGGGCCATTTTTCAGCACAAAAAATGTGCTGAAAAACTCGGCTTATACTCGAGTATATACGGTATTTACTAATGCTAGCAACATAAGGATTAAAAATAGTTCATGTTAATTGAGAGAGTGAAGTTTCGCTTTAAGTTCAGCTTAAGGACACTGGTTTAGTTTGCAGTAAAACAAATGGATAACTAACAGCAGTTTGCACAAACAAAAAGCTTTTACCTATTTGAGGCACACAGCATGCACTCATTGGAATAGGAATTTCCATCAGTTCCACAAACAGGCTCAAAGTTCCTTGGGCACCCAGGCAGTTCGTACAAATGGCATTTTGGCTGAAAAAACAATGTCAATGCACAACTATATTTTAACAAATATATAATTGTCTTCCATACAGAGTGCTTTCAAAGCATTTGGACCTGATAAGATAGAGGTAAATATTTAATTTATGTGACTATTGCATCTGTTCAATTACAGACAGCCAGATACACTGAAAAGAAGAGTTTGTAGGAACAAGGATTTGTATGCTATCCTAAGCAATGACATAAAGAAAATTATTTTTCAATAAGAAATATCTGATGTCAAATGGTAGAAGCGCTCTCAATATAGGAAGGTGGGGTACAACCCTTTCATATTAATTAACTCAGATTTAAAAAGACACATGCACTTTGCCCATTGAGGAAGCATCAGGTACTGTATTTTCACTAGCCGAGGCAGAGAAGGGAGAAGCAGGGAAACTCCACCAAGATGTATATTAGATCAGGGGTCTCCAAACTTTCTAAAATAAAGGGCCAGTCTACTGTCCTTCAGACTTAAGAAGTGCTGGACTGTTGGGAGTAGAAAAGGTCATGACTTACGTGGAATAAACAATGTCCCATCTTTGGTGTCAGTTGGAGGGTTAGAGCCCCATCATTGGGCCCTATTGTTGGTGTCTGAAAGGAATTGTGCCCCATTGGGAGGAATTGTGACCCATCATTGGGAGTTATTCTGCCCGTTCATTGGTGTCAGAGGGGGGAATTATGCCCCATTGTTGCTATCAGTGGAGAAAAATAGTGCCCCAAGGGCTGGATAAAAGTAAGCAAAGGGACGCAGTTTGCAGACCACTGTATTAGAGCATTGGAAGGGCCCTGTTACACAGACACTCTTACTTTCCCCTGAATGGGCCAAATGACATTGTCTCTTTAAAGATAGTTTATAATGCTTAAAGTGTTACTAAACCCAAAACAGTCAAATCAGTCTGTATATGCAGGAAAGCATGCTTGTTATAGTCACTGTAGAACCTAAGGGGTTAATCCACTGCATTGTGTAAAAGGCTGTTTGATCCTGACTTCTCTGATCCTCCCCTTCTTACAGTGCCCCTTCTTATCTCCTGATAAGACGTATCGTGTGGAGACACTCTGCACATGCTCAGTTTGGAGTGTATTTCTAGAGTGTTTTTTTTTTCTTGGGAGAGTGCATGTGATAAGCACAGGGCCAATCAGCACTGTCCAGACAGAGTCAGGGATCCTGCATCCTCCTAGAGCAGAATGAAAACTCCTCCTACAAGCTTTACATTTGCTCTGCTGGATATTGATAGGAGTCACAAGACTGCTCTAACTGCTGATGAGAAAAAGTATTTAGCAGTTGTGACAGGAGGTCAGGAAGAAATAGGGGATGTGTTCAGGATGGGAGGTATATTTGTCCCAGGTTCCTGCTCTACACAGACTGTTTCTCCTGTTGTGCTGTGTAGTGGGCCTGTGTGGCTCACCGATGAGTTAATGAGCTCAGGTGTAGTGAGTTAAGGGCTCTGGGCTCTATAAAACTCCCAGGCTGCATAGGGAGAATGCTCCAACCTGCAACCAGTTGGCTGTGCAGGGCAGACTGGGGAGCAACCAAGCCATCCTGTGGTGAGAAATAATCTGTGTGAACACCCTGTGTCTGTGCAGTGGTAGGCTGTATTCAGACAGCTAGATAGGAAACCTGTGTTTGTAGTTAGATGCCCAGTGTGGCAAGGCTTTATTTTCTGTTTTTGTTTTGCTGTTTTTGGATTTATGCACCGTGTGTTCACCAGACTTTGTAAATAAAGCACAACCTTATTCACCAAGTACCTGCTGTCGTGCTGAGCCTCTTTCATGGTGTTCTGACCCATCCAGGGGGTCAAGCACAACCCGCTACTGAGCTAATCCCTCACACAGTTTATATTTACTAAAATAATTGCACTTCCATGTTGTGTGTACTGTGGGAGACCAGATATAATGAATGCAGAGTCATGGGTTTAGTAACACTATAAGTTTGGTTACATTTTGTTTAACCCATACCAGACATGGTACCTGTATTAAATGAAAAGTTTCCCCGTGCTATTGCCTGTTATTTATTGAAATCTCCTCTGCTCTCCAATACCCCTGCGGTTGTGATCTTCTGATGCTGCTGGGGTTAACAGGAGGAGACACTGGACCTGTCACGGCAACTATGCCCTCTGCTTCATTCACAAAAGCTGTACTATCGCTTCTACCAATGAAAAGTACTCTAGGAATGAAAGTGCTGGACCTTCATTTGTTTGCCTGTCCTCCATTCACAGAGCATGTTTCATGGCAAGAAGCAATAGTACAGCTTTTATGAATGGAGCAGCGGGCTGGAAAAGGTGGGCATAGTTGGCACATGAGTGCCTTTGAAGGGTCCATCTGATTGTATTAACCCCTGCAGAATCAGAAGATCACAGCTGCAGAGGTATCTGGGGATGGTATCAGAGGAATGAAGATTTCACTACAAAAAAGGAGACAGCAGTACAAGAGGCACTTCATTCAGTGTACGTATCGTCCCTTTAAGCAAGTACTGTTACACTTGACAATTAGAATCTGGCAAAGTTCAACATCATATTTTTTATGCATGCTAGGCCTAATATGCTGAGGTTTTCCACTTAACGATATGCCAAGCCAGCCTAGAATAATTTGAAACTGGGGGCCGCCCAACAATTAGAGAGACACCTATTAGCAAACGTATGTAAGCATAGGACACCCCCCCATTAAAAGAGAATTATACAAAATAATCATTGGTTAAACCCACAAGTACTTTTTTTACCACTAATTTCTTTATATTAGCTTTAACCACTTCCTGTCCGGACACTTTTACCCCCTTCCTGTCCAGGGCAATTTTCAGCTTTCAGCGTTATCACACTTTGAATGACAATTGTGCGGTCATGCAACACTGTACCCATATTAATTTATTTCCCATTTTTTTGAGACAGAGAGAGCTTTATTTTGGTGGTATTTATTCACCGCTGGGATTTTTATTTTTTTGCTATGTAAATGAAAATGTCCAAACATTTTAAAAAAAGTGTTTTTTTCTTATAAAATGTAGCAAATAAATAATCTTTCATCATAAATCTTGGCCAAAATGGCCGTTATCTTTTTAGTAAAAAAAAATAAATAAGCCAAATTAGTTTATAACCAAAAATTATAATTTTTAAACTTTTGTTTTACATTTTATTTTATTTTTTTAGATTATTTGGTTTTTTTTTACATACTGTCACCCTAGTAGTACAGTGTCACCATGGTGACACTGTACTACTTGTGGGGGTGATGAAGGTTTTTTTTTTCTTTTTTTTTTTTTTACAGTGATTGCTTTTACACCCATATAGGATGTAAAAGCAATCATTTCTCTTTCTCTCCGTCTGCATTCTTGCAGCCATTGAGAACTACTGAGTGAGCTGTGATTGGTCACAGCTTGTCACATGGTAAAAGGCGGTTTTGAATAGCCTTGTACCATGTGACCTCTGTGATCATTCACAGATTTCACACGTAGTAAGCAATGATGTCACAAATGACATCTTGCTTACTACTTTGCATGTGATCACTGATTGGCCAATCAGTGATCACATGATCGGGACCTCGTACAGAGGTCCCGTCCAAAGATCGGTGTTTCACTGTGTCCGGAGGACACAGCGGGCACCGGATCGCGGTGCTGCGCACTCTCAGAGAGCGCGCACAGCTAGAAATGGCGGGTGCCGTTTATGAACAGCAACCCGCCCCTGGAGTGCTACCGTGCTGCCATTTATAAACAGCAAGCGGACAGCAAGTGGTTAAGAAGGGCTTTTTTCAGTAGGAATGCAGGGGAACGTAGTTCCGGCACCTTCAGCATTTAAGGTATGTAATGACCAGGGGTGCTGGGTTGTGCTGTAGGGTCTATTGATGCTGGCTGCTGCTGGATCTATTGTAACTGGAGGGGAACTATTTTAGCATGGTGGTCTATTGTTGCTGAGATGTCAATTGTTGCTGGGATCTGCTGTTAAGGGAGGAGTCTATTGTTGCTTGCTGATGGGAGATCTTTTATTGCTGCTGGGGATCTATTGTTGCTGGGGTGGTATTTTGTTGTGGGGGTCCATTGTTGCTGGGGGGGGTATTGTTGCTGGCTGTATTGTTTTATTTTACTGCTTTCCTTGTTATCATTAACATATTCCATACAAAATTATATTTGGTTCTATATTCTCTACAAAGGACCGGTACTTGGAGGTGAGTAGGGAGTGGAACCAAGGGATAGTTCTTGGAGGTGAGTAGGGGGTGGAAACAAGGGGTGATTCAGAAAAAGGGAGTTCCTGAAAAAAACCCTGGCTTTAAATAATTACAAATGCAGCGATTTAGAAATTGGATTGGAAAAGGTTTAGCACTGTAAAAACACTTTTTGATAGTGCATTTTACAGTGCCTTGAAAAAGTATTCGTACACCTTAACGTTTTCCACATTTTGTCATGTTATAACCAAAAAATGTAAATGTATTTTATTGGGATTTTATGTGATAGACCAACACAAAGTGGCACATAATTGTAAAGTGGAAGGAAAATGATAAATGGTTTTCAAAATTTTACAAATAAATATCTGAACAATGTGGCGTGCATTTGTATTCAGCCCCCCGAGTCAATACTTTGTAGAACCACCTTTCACTGCAATTACAGTTGCAAGTCTTTTTGGGGATATCTCTACCAGCTTTGCACATCTAGAGAGGGACATTTTGCCCATTCTTCTTTGCACAATAGCTCAAGCTACAATCAGATTGGATGGAGAGTGTCTGTGAACAGCAAAAGTCTTGCCACAGATTCTCAATTGGATTTAGGTCTGGACTTTGACTGGGCCATTCTAACACATGAATATGCTTTGATCTAAACCATTCCATTGTAGTTCTGGCTGTATGTTTAGGGTCATTGTTCTGCTGGAAGGTGAACCGCCGCCCCAGTCTCAAGTCTTTTACAGACTCTACCAGGGTTTCTTCTAAGATTGCCCTAAGATTTGGCTTCATCCAC